TCAGCAGGTTCCTCTGACACCAGGCAGAGTTCAGCTCGTTACATATCTGATTTATCCTGATTTCCCTTCTTCACACATTATCATTGACTCATCTGACAGAACACTAACCTGCAGTGTACATCAGGTAAAAACTGATAACTATGAAAACACATTATAATTAAAAACAATAAAATGCATCACGTAAAATAAACACAACATAAATGAAAACATACAGTGTGTTGTTCTTGAGAAAAACATGAAAACATTTTGATAGTTTGGAACCAAACTATGAAACTGGATAAAAATACTGAATTATAACATTTTGTATGAAAACATCATGTTAAATAAAACTTCCTCCTTCTCTCCTTCTTTCTCTTCTTCTTCTCCTCATGATGAAATATTGATGCGTTCAGTCTGTGTTTAACTTGCAGCATCAATATTTCTGTCTTTACAGTTTTCTGATTCTCTGCAGCAGCTTCAGTTCTGAAGTGCAGGAACTTCAGTCTGATCTCAGATCAGATCAGATCAGTGTCCTCTTTGATTCACAGACTGAAAACTAACCAAACACTGATCACTATATATAAATGTATATACACTAGGGATGTAACGATATGGAAAATTTGATATCTCGATTATAGTGACCCAATTATCACTGTAAGCGATAATATCGCAATATTTTTTAAGCGCTGTAAAATGTCATTAAAAAATAGATATATTGAAATAACTTCACTAAATCTTGTAACTTCCTTATCATACTAAAATGTTAACAGCCAAAATCTTATATTAAAATGAAACTTTCACATTAAAGGGGCAAGGGATTGGCACAGCAACAGAAAATTGTATTTTAAATGAACAAAATATGTAAACACATTACAGGAACAAAGCTTATTTGTCCGGTGCAAGCAAAATATGTAAACAATTTATATATTAATTATTTATTTATTAGCACGAGAGGAAAAATATATATAAAACAAAACAATGCAAGAGTAGAACAAAAGACATACAATATATAGAATAGATATCACAAATGTGCAGGAGTGCATGTTCTTGTGTGTGTGTGTGTGTGTGTGTGTGTGTGTTAGGTCAAGACTGTGAGCAGTGAATTTAATTAACCTTATAAAACCAAGAGCCCCCATTAAGGCTCTCAGTAAAAGGTTAACACGGCAGCGTTTTATGTTGTTTCCTTGAGCTTATGTCGAGAAAGCATAACTGACCGTCTATATCGATTCTAGCTCGCCATACAATAACCATAATCATAGTGATTCAATCATAGTTGATCTCAATTAGC